CCCCAAAACCCCAAAACCCCAAAACCCCAAAACCCCAAAACCCCAAAACCCCTTTATCATCTTTCTAAATTGAATTTTTATGGGATCCTAGTTGTTCAGCTTGATAAGTATTCAGGTGATGTCATCAACACAGATGTCATTGATTAGCCATTCTTCATGAGCTTGAGAGATTAGATCATCAATTGCCTTCTGATAATCATCTTGTTCAATTCCTTCAGAGAGGATATCTATTACCTCTTGGTTGGTCATGAATTCCCATATTCCATCTGAAGCTAAGATAATAAATTTATCTTCAGACTGGATTTCATATTCAGTTATTTCTGGATCTGAGGTAACTCCATATTGATGAGCAATCTCATCTCCAAGGGACCTACTCATTGCTAGCCCAGGGTATTGGAAACTAGGATGCCAAACTCTGTGAGGGCCTACAAAGTTACCTTCGTTGTCACAGAAGGGATGTATCCTTCCTCGATTGGAAAGGATTCTTTCCTTTTCATCTCTTAATTCCGGCTTATGGTCTCGGCTAATTTGGTGTGGCTTCCACAAAAAGTTGGAATTTTGCCTACAAATTACTACTCTACTATCGCCAACATTGGCAATGAACACTTTGTTCTCCTTTACCACAATCGTTACACAGGTAGTCCCAGACAACTTTGTGTCAAAGGGTTGTTGGACGATCATCTCATGAGTATTATTAAATGCCTTTCTTAAGGCTTCTTTGATCTTTGTGTTTGTTTCTAAATTTTATAAGAAATTCATACTTCTACATGCATTCATGGCTGATCTCCGACTAGACCCTAATTCAGAATCAAGTCATAAAGACTCTGTTTCGGAGTCAAGTGGGGAAACTTTGTTAAATACTTCAAAGGAGTTGAAAATACTTGATTTCATTTTGGGCTTATGATTCTTCCAGCTACGTTTTGACAATGAATGCATAAAGTGCAAATTTTGGGACCCTCTAAGTCCATTTTTGCTCTTCCTTCTCTGTTTGCCGGTAGCTGACAGCTTCCGTTTAAAATCTTGTTTCATATAAAGTTCAAATTCGTCAACTAATTGATTCTTAGCATAATCTGAAACGAGATGCCCATCAATACCATGACCGTCTAGAATAGAGAACATCCATGTATCTTCTTGTCCTGAAATATTTGGCTTCACAATGTAAGAATCTTGGTTCACTTTCTTTTTCTTTGATGCTAAAATTCAGTCAGAAAATTTACATGAAGGAGCTCGGCCTCATTGAGTTTTTACTTTATAGAGCTCAACAGTATTGACCCCTTTAAAGATTTTCCTAGCTCTTGAAGGTCCTCTTGACACAGAATTGATACTTTCGACATCAGGTGCATCAAGCACATCTTGAGTTCTATTCTTCTGATCAATCGTGAAATGTTTGTGGAATTCTACAAATGAACATTTGGTTCTCACCTTTAGCATTCCTAGTCCCCTTGGAGTGACCATAAGGAGACATTATTCTGGAGTTTAAGGAAAATTTGTGACTAGAGTCTGTATTCAACTTGATGTTATTTGATTTTACCCAGATCCTGGATGGGCCCAATACCAGGACGATGATTAGTGTTCATTTTCTCCTGGTCTCTAGATTGTCATTTACTTTCTTCTTCATCATTATTCTTAGCGTCTATTGTGAAGGAGTTTAAATAGGATGTGCTTGGGAGATCCTCAAGAGTGTTCCCCTTGGGTATTGATAAGTTCTTGGACTTCTTAGATCCACTAGCATCCCTGTTCTTCTTGTCAAGTTCTCTCTTCCTTCTTCTGAAGGTGTTCTCAAATCCAAAGGAAAGATTAGACTTGTTGTTCCTACTTTGAAGTTTCTTTGTGATTATTTGTGATGAAGGGATATTCAGAGGTTTAATGACAGGAAGTTGTCTCTCAGAGATATTATTCTTCCTCTTTTCAGCCTATATATGACACAGAATCTCTACTAGAGCAAACTTGCCCTTCATTCTCTCTAAACTTTCTGCATTGAGTTTGTTCTTGCTCTAAGAAGTCATAAGGCTGACTTACAAAATTTCTAGCATTAACGAGGTTATCAAGCACTTGTGGGTTTTGAAACTTAATCTTGTATGGCTCTACTGTATGATTCTTCAATCTTTGGGTCCAATTCCTGGACTCTTGGGGCTCTTTAGAGTTATTCTGTACCCCAGCAGGCATATTAAAGGTGTTATCGATAATAGATCTCAGCTTATTTCAATGTCTTCTTGCTTTGCTTAGTAATCTTAAGATCATGCTCTAGAGCTTCACTTTTGAGCTCATAGGATTCTGGTGGTTCCCTTTGGAGTTCGACTTTGCCATAATATTATTCTTTGAATCATTGGCTGTGGTTTCTTCATTTTGGGTATCTACCTCATAGTCAAACTTAGTTACCGATCACTGTCTCTCGGTTGGCTTTGAAGCTCTGATGGAATGAATGTGGAGTACTTCCAATTTTCACTTTTGAAGTTCTACATAAGGTTAGGCTTGGAAATTACTGTTTGGCAATCGGAGCCTTCTGTAGTTTGGCTTGAGTGTGGAATTTGGCAATTTTCCGATTCGAGTTCCTGCTATTTGTAGGATTCTTTATGCTGAGCTTCAGTTTGAGCTTTTCACCACCCTGCCCTGTGTTCTGTAGATTATAATATGTAGGCTTACTTTCAAGAAGTTACTCGTAATTTTTAGCTTTTCGGGCTGTATAGGTTTCTTCTAAATTTTTGTTAAGAATTGGAGAAATTGGCAATATTTTTGAGAATGTTAAAAAATTATAAACAATTATAGTCTTATTTTTTTATTTTTAAATAGAAAATAATGAGTTGGGATAGCTTGATTCACTGATATATATTCTGGAATAGAACTCCTTGAAGTAATTCGCATCGGTAGCATCTTCATCGATGGATATAAACTTGCGTATGTTGAATAAAGTGAGATCATGACTAAAACTGAGTAAAAAACCGAATTATAGGATATAAGCTCTTCTCCATCCCTTATCCATGAGTATAATTATTTCAAAAATCTGTTTATTGAACTTTCTCCAAAATACATAAGTAAAACACCAGTCTAAACATTAATACAGTAGCTATTCTCCCCATCCTTCAGCCATGAGCTTAGATTATTCTAAGAAGCAGTAGAGAAGAGAGGGTGGAAGAATTAGGGCCGGCAGAGATAGGGGAGGATTACTCTGGGGAGTTAGGGAAGAAGGTCTGGTCACTTGGGGAGTGGGGGGTTGGGGATGAGGGAGGTGGGTTAGGGGGAGAGGTAAGGGGAGGAGGGGGGGTTAGGAGAAATGTTTGTGTGGGGTTTTGGGGTGGAGTGGGGGTGAATGGGCTTAATGGGTGCTAGGGAATGGAGGGTGGTAAGTGGTTAGAGTTGTAGAGAGTAGTGTATTAGGAATGAGCTGTAGTATAGACATTCTTACTGTTAATACCTTTTCCATCTTCTTATAATTGATAAAAAGTTAAATAATATTGACTTTTATCAAATTGGGGTTTTGGGGTTTTGGGGTTTTGGGG